ATTTTCTGAGATCGTTTTCTCTAATATGCTTGATGTTTTCCTCTGAAAACTAAGGTCAATTTTAAAATCAAGTAATATTTTTAAGTGTTTAAATATAAACGAAAAGCATTTTTTATGAAAAATTACCAGTTTAGTAACTATGTTGAGCTATATCTCAAAGCTATTTTGAAGTACAAGAAAGATTTTAGGGCATAACACAGATAACTGTCATAAAAATGTACTCCTACAAGGATTTATGTATATTTAGAATACGATTTTGTCTATGGCTGTTAGCGTAAGGCAAATATTTTAGTCATTTTTCTACAAATTTCTCATTTTTTTAAAGAAATATTATTCTGAAAGCTTAATTTTACAATATTTTCATAGTTTTAAAACATATGCAGTTGAAAAATAACATTAAAAAGATATACAAGTTATTTTTCAAAAAAATGACTCAGAACACAGTCGGATACCTTAACAAGCTAGATCTGCTATATTATTACAAAATCTCTTCATTACAACTATGTGTTAAAAATCTACAAATTCACACTGTATGTTCTTGCTAACAAAATATTTATATATTTAAAATAATTAAATGAATATGTACTAATGCAAACAAGGATTTTTGCAAACTATGGCATGCAACAGACTTTGTTGGTTCCTAGCTATATTGGAAATAAAAAACCATAAGAAATCGCAGTTGAAACCAGATGCTGCTTCTGAAAATTTCCTAAAAATATTCATGTCATATAGCATTTTTAATATTTTCTGTAATAAAGTGCATGTAGTAATAAATTTGAACATGGTATTTTAAAGGAAATATAAATAAAATAAAGAAATAAAAAATTTACAATTATCATAATTATTTATAGTATGGAAATAAGCAAGTTGGAGCAGGTATTATTTCATTATCCACACCGTGGAAAAATAGTATTAAAGAAAAAATTTATTATAATTATTTATATAACACTTCACAAATACATCAGTAAAAAGTTAATAAGAAATCATTAAATTGCGAAAAATAATGTTAGTTTCGGTTTTTTCATTCATAAAATTATAAAATTGTATTATGATACATAAATTAGTTTAACATATTCACTGCCGCTGGAGCGTCCAGAACTTATGATGAACTGACCCCTTCTCCACTGTAGTTAAGACATGGCAGAGAAGGGCCATCTAATTCGATAGATGGTTCGAATTTCAGGCGTGAATAGTGGTAGAGAATGGGTTGAAAAAAGGAAAAAGCAGGTATTATTTCAATATTAAAAACAAATAACTTTGGGCGTTATAATATTCTTAAAATGTTTCTGTGTATGTCACTAAGAATGTACTATATTGTCAAATGATAACACAGCACTCAAATTTCTTTCATAAATATGGCATTATAAATTTAAATTGGGGAAATAACTCTGTTGAAAAGTCATTTCGATCGATTCGCAATTGTTATAAATAAATATATCTATTACAGCAGCTTTCTTACTAAGTTAAGTGTTTATTATCATTTTAAGTTCCACAAAATTAACAAGAAGGCGAAAGCCACTTAACTGGACTGTACAAGCTACAACGATATTTTCCTTCTGTTTGAAAAAAACCAGGGGCCTTCCAGGTTTCTTTACATGAAATTGCTTTCTTTTATAACAAATCATTCGTTCGGAATACCCCAAATGGCTTCTACATTTTTAAGAATACAATCTCCCGGTGAAATGGCATTAAGGCAAGTTTCTAAGGTTTCAGGAGAGTAATCCATATATTTACCAGCCTCTAACATCGTTTTACACACTATGAAATAACTTCAGCAAAATCCAACATTGTCCTTTCTCTTTTTAATGCTAAATATGTCAAAAATATAGAAAAAATCAACTAGTTTCTATGTACCGCAAATTTTCATGGTGCAAAGAAACTCTCGTTTTTGGTGCAAAAGTTACCCCACCTCAGAAAAAAATTAATTACAACTTAACTAATAAGTATAATTAACATTCAAAGCAATAGAATGAGATCTAGCTATGTTGTCTTTCACACTGAAACGCACTAAACTTCAGAAATATTGTACTCTTTTTCACCAGACACAGTTTTTTCTAAAATTTTTATCCATCGATACTTGGCTGTGAATTGAGTTCAATCTCGATGCGCCTAGGTTTAAGTCAGTAAAACGCATGCAGTATTCAGAGAAGAGCTTTGAGTATTTAAGTATCTTGAACGAAATAAGATTCAATAAAATTTCTAATTGTTGGCAGCTATCAAAAATATTTAGTACATAGTTGCGGTAACCTTTCGAGGCCTGTAACACATCAAGAGTGAATTCATGTTAAAATCAAGTGTCGATGGGTTACATGCAGCGAAAGACTCCCATGTGAAAATACTTAACTTTGTGTCATTAAAATACTTTTAGAGTATGACTGTGTAATAATATTTATCTTCACCTTCTTTAATCAAAAGCTATAAAACGAGGAAATCCCGACAATCATTTTTGGACACAATGTATCTTTTGTTTAATTCTAAAGTACTTTTTGCCTTCGCCATCAATTAGAATGGATGACCACACTGCAGTCATGCAGTGACTGATAAGCAGACATCCCGATAAAACTCTCCGAAGTGCTTCAGTTGTAGAACGGTGATGGAAAATATGCCTTATACTAATTGATTGGCTTTCTTCATAACTTTTGATTTTCATGATATTTTATATTAGACTTTCTGCAGAGAATTTCATTTGCATGATATTTTACTTTATAAATATGACATGTTTGATAAGTAATCTCTTTTTTCCGCTAATTACTATCATTAATTAAGACATGTTTACCGAAAAAGTTTGGACATAAAATTGAATAAAGTTTTATTGTTAATAATTATTTTCAATTTTTGTAAATTCAATTTTATCTAAAAAGTTTTCCGATATAGGAAATACATTCAAAGGTTTACTTGGGCAGTTCTAAAAGATAATTTTTTGTCATATATTGCAATCAATGTTTCGTTCCACGTGTCAACATCATACTTAAATTTTTAAAACAACATTCATTGCTCTTTCAATGCGTAAGAAACTTAATTACGAAGCTACCTTTAAGAATTATTTAAGGTTTATAGATCCCCGCGTTTGTTGTAAATAATGAACTATTTTATAAGCAGGTGTTTTTTTTTTCCTTTGAGTCTTTTGATAAAATCATGTCTGAAGATTCCGATAAGCATATTCTAAAAAATTATGCAGAGTGTTTTCTCTGGAGAGAAGTTCTGTTGAGATAAATTATGGTTTCAGCTTGTTTATCACAAAATATTAATTTGTATTCACCACAGTGTTTCGGATTCTTTAAGTCTTATTACCATATCGATCAATAACTATTTATAGTTTGCATGGCAGTGTTTTCGCTCTGAAGTAGCTTGCGATGGGCATGAATTAGGTGTTAAAGGAATGTGAGGCTTAGCAAACTTGAATCGATAGAAGCATCAGCAAAAAAACTAATCGTTATGTGCAATTTTGATATTCTTGAATGTCTTATTTAAAATAGGTAAAATTGGAAAATTCGTGAACTAAACTTCTAATCCTTATTAATTATGTTCGAATCAGAAGAAGATTTAAATGGGTTTGTCATACAAATGGGTATATAAAATTATGTAATACTATTATAACTTTCAATTATTAAGTGCTGTGGGTAAAAATATTTCCTCTTGCTTAAAAGTATATAAAATGAGACTAAATTTATGTAAAGCGTAGAATTTTCAACGCATGTTTTACAGCGACAGATAATAGAGTTTTAATGAAGAAATTTATTTTCATCAAAAAACGCACTGCTGTTGATAATAAAGCGAAATCATTTATAACCCATAATGAAATTAATATATATTATTAAGTATATAAAAAAACCAGTGCGTTTCTTATTGGCAACAGAGAATAATTATACCAAAGTTGACAACTGCAAACAAAATGTTTATACATTCAATAAAACGCAACACTAATAAATATATTGGTGCGTTTTGTCTTAATATTTTCATCGTTACGGGAATGATTTCAATGGCATTTATGCATAATGGTTGAATATTTATCAAGATTTTTTTGTAACTCTTTATAGGCATAATCTTTCGTTCCTTTCTTCTTCTATTTTTTGTTTACTTTCTAATCGATTATTACTGTTGACTTATAAATAATGCCAAAAAATTTCGCAAGCTTCTTTGATAAAGTTGTTAATATTTCACAAAGTGATTCCATGCATCACAATTTATTATTTATGAATTATAAAGGTTAGAAGTCTCATTTTGTATAATCTTCGCCACAACGAATCAGAAGATTTATTAAATAGTATTATATTTGAAAGAAAGAAGGACTTCTGATGATTTATTGAGATTTAGACTAACTGCTCTTATATGAAAATCAATGTATGGCTGTTCTAATTTAAAGTTTTTACACAGGCATCTTGTTTCAAGAAGCCTCAGATGTTTCTTCGAAAAATAATTTAAACTCATTTTTGAAATACATTTTAAAACTATGATAAGTATACTTTAAAAGGATGATTTAAAATATATATACATTAATGTTTAGGCAGGAAATCTAACAATTGCTATTGATGCCCGGCTTTCAGAAACGTCGCATTCTTGACAGAGTTAAAAATGGGTGCATAAAAATATATGAAACTATTTAAAAAAAGATGAACGCGTGTTAGGGTCAATAGCGCTAATAGCTTGGAACTGATAATTGGGATAATAACTTCCCAGATAGCAAAGAAAGCTTGTCTAAAAGGTTTTGGAAACCTTGTCGTCAGTAAGGGTAAAGGGTTGTCACAAAGGTTTCCATGACAAGGGTTGAACCTTTCGGCAAGGTGGCGAAAAGGTTCGTTAGTCAACAAGAAACAAGGTTTTCTTTAAGGTTTTTAGTAAGATTTCCCCAAGCTTTTAATACAAGCTTCTTTCATGCCTTTTCAAAAGGTTGTTAAGAGCCCTCTTCAGCGGAAAAAATAGAGCCCCCTTCTCCCCTCCTGCAGAGAAGGACCTCCCTTTTTTCACTCCCTTTCAAAGCCGTACACCTACAAACTTCAAATTCCTCTGAGCCGGGGATCGAACCCGCGTTCCTGGGGTTGAAGCCAAACACAATAACCACTATACCGTATGGGGCTACACACGGCGGGACAGTTGTTCATAAAAAGCTTATCTACGTCAATTTTGAGGGAATGGTTTCCGAAACGGTTTGCGCGGCAATGCTTTCGCCGGACTTGTCTTTAAACCTTGTCGGTGAGGTAGTTCATAAAAAGCTTTCCTATGTAAACCTTGCGGCAATGGTTTCCGAAACGGTTTGCGCGGAAATGTTTTCGCGGATAGCCTATGGAAAGCGAAATGGCAACCTTTCCGCAACCTTCTTTGCTATCTGGGTTATTTGTCAAGCTTCTACACAACCAGAAATAACGCTATGTGATACTAAACCATTTTAAGTGAGCATACACTGCATATAATCTTCACGACACAAAAATTACACTTGCGCAAAAATGTATGGCATCTTTCATTTTCTTCACGAACAAATCGTACATTTTCATTACTTTACAAATCATTCAACGGATACATTTAAAAATAATTGTTTAAATAAAAAATATGAAATATCAATCGAATTGACCAGCATATTTCTTAATATTTCTAAATTTAAGAAACTTATTTTTTAAAGTTCATTTAGGTTGGCCTTCGAGCTTCCATCTAAATAAGATTTTGTATTTTTCTGCGCTTTCATATTTCTTCAGAAGTACACTTTTAGCTATTGTTTGTTTCATATCGCAGCTAAAAACCGTAATTTCTCGCGTTGAACTTTTACGATGGCTTTCGACTACCTTTCTAGATTTAATAGAGCAGCAACAAGTGCTCTAAAAAATGGTTTAAATGGTTTGAACTGCAGGCATATAAAAAATGCCTGTTTTTTTCACAGAGGAAATTAAAAGAAATCCACTTTTAGGTGAAAAATTGTCAAAACTAATGACTCATTTTTTTGTTCAAAATTGCTTTCTAAAATTGAAATGAAGCAACATTTTCATCACAACTCCTTCATTTTGCTTTTCGGAGAGAAGTTACTTAATAAATTATACGAAATTTCAGGAAACGTTTAACTATGCTCTATGAGATAACCACATTTAATTGAAAGAATTTAAATCCCTCATCTCTACGAACGTTTGGATTTTAAAATGCCATAAAAGTGAAGTAATTCTGCAATGAAATATCGAAAACTATGTTTAAAAATTTTGCTAAAAATTATCTAGTGTTACAAATTAAATTCTTGTAATCCAAACCATACTGGAAAAATACAAGAAATATTCGCTAAAGGAAAAAAAGACTGTTATTCTTTCTAAACGCCTTCACAAGCGTAATATATTGTGTTCGGTCGTTGCAATATATACCATAGAAAGTTTCTTTTACTGGAAGAAAAATAGGTAGACGTGAAAGAATTCTCCAAATATATTATTTTGGGCAGCTAAAACACTATTCTGAAGATATCCAGGTCTTGCGTTATTTTAAAAGGCGACATATTTTCACTTCCAAGTGCCATACATTTTCTTTTTCTGTTCTTGAATTTTTGGCTTTCCTCCGTCTCAGCAGGGAAAAATCATTCAATGATCGCAAAAACACTATATATAGATGTTATATATTGGTTATAAACGTTTAAAAAATTGGTTTTTAATATAGATCAGAAATTTCTTTTATTGATGTTTGGAAAATTTATTTAAGAAAATATTAGATATAGAACCAAGAAAGGATTAGAGTTTTAATCTTTTTATAGGCTGGTTTTTACCCGCAAAAATATTTCGTACTGGTTGAATTTCATCAGAAAGCAAAGGGAAGTTTAACATAATGTTAGGCTAAGACATTCATCTTCGTCTCCTGCGATAGTTGTCTGCTTACAATGTAATTTCGTTTTTCGTGTTGCGGTAATACATGTCATGGCTTTAAAACATGTAAAAATAAAATTTGAATTGCACAAAGCAAATTATAGGTGTGAGATATGTCGTTTTCTGTTCGCTCTTTTATCAAATTTCCAGGCGTGTTTTTTGCTTGTAACACGCAGAGTTTTCATTCAAATTACACGAAACTTACAGAATACTCGACAATATTTTACAGGAGCAGTAACTATGTTTAACATTAAAGGAAATAAAATAATTTGTACTAAATAATTTTTTACTGCACCTGTGCGAGACGAACCGTAACTTTTCTTTCTTCATTTAACCCTCCAGCCGTTAGGCTTTCAGATTGCTACGTTTAACGAAATTGTCACGCTGGAAGAGAAGGTTATTCTCCAAGTTGTGAGGTTTTGGACAAAAGGATTTTAACCCCCTTTTGTGGTCATTTTCGAGCCGTATGGGGGCTATTAGACCTGTTATCGTTCGGCAGTGACAGATGACTTCTGACCTCAATTCTTTGGGACGGAATAATTGTTAGAAGACCCTTCTTTGAGTATTCTCAGAAAAGTTGGTCAAACTGACCCTCCCTTGACCAAAGACACTCCCTCTCATTATGTCGCCGCGTGACACCTGGGGGGAAGAGAAAAACTTGTAGAAGGAAAATCTCGGGCCTGACACTTATATGGAACTTTTCTTTCCCGAGACAGTCTCGGGTCTGCCGTTATGAGAGGAAAAAATTCACGCAGATATCTCGGGCCTGACGCTAGGATGGTTTTAAAATCCAGATATATAGAGCAACTTATATAGAAATTCCAGATGAATACTGTTAAACTTCAGAAAGATATAAGCATTTTAGTGAGGTGAATTTCAATTTCTCTTTAAGAGTAGATAAAGGATGAGGGTTCCTGCACTAACTGATATTTTTTAACTTGGATCTTCGAAAGGTTATGGACGAAATACAATTTAAGTAATGTATTTACCTGATAAGTATACATGGGTGTTCAGGATATTCAACTTTTCTAGAATTCAATGTTACTGTTAGAAGTTTCTAAATTCGAAAGTATCTATTTGTAGAAAACCCCTCATCACTTCTCTCAAAGAGAAATTTCAATTCACGTCACTGAAATGCCGATTTCTGAATTTTAAAGCGAATTAAGTGGAATTTTAATTTAAGTTTTTCTATATATAAGCTTTGAAGTTAAAAAAGAAAAATTACGCTACAGCTCGCAAAGTCGCAGTAAAAAATTATTTAGTGCAAATACTCATAGTTCCTCTAGTATTCGACTCATTTATTCTAAATTTTAGTACAATACTTCTGTAACATGTTGTCGAGCAGTTTGTAAATTTCGTATAATTTAGATAAAAACTCTGCATATTATAAGTAAAATACATTTTTAAAAGAAACCTTTATATCTTTCGATTATCCATGCTATTTTTACGAAAAGGCATGTAAGCAATGTGCATGACAAACAAAACCAGTAATGAATGTTTCAAATCACTATCAACTTCATGTGAAACGGGATGAACAAGCATCCCTTTTCGTTTTCATCAATTTTTGGTTGGTCCCCTAAATGCTCTCGTGAGTGACTCTCCAGTCTAAATTGTGTACGATACTCGTTTATATGTTACACGATTTTCCACAACTGATTTTGAACCATCGTTTTCGTATTAATTGCACATTTCTTTCATCTTACGAAATGGTACTTAATTTTTGCACACCAGTGTATTTTGTTCAATAAAGGAACTTAAAATAAATTTTAAAAGATTAAAATTACATGGAGATGCACGGTTTTTTGTATGTCAACCATCAGAAAAACTACATCCTGTTTGTGTTTCGGCCATTAACAGTCTAATTTCTGCAACTGCTTGACAGACACTTAGCATCATTAGCTTCCTTAAAACTGTTCTGCTTAAAAGCGTTCTATGAGTCACTTCGCGGATAGTCAAACAATAAATAGAGTTTTGAAGAAAATATACAAGGTGCGTTCGAAAAGTTCGGTGAATGGTCCCATAGTTGAATAACCGCGCTGGTTCGGATGCTGCCCTCACGCAGACGCATTAAGACACATGGCAACTAGTGCCCCCTAGCGTCCAAATCACGATAGTTAAACGGAAGTGCTCGCTACAACCAATTTAACGAGTCATTGTGAGAAGGCGCGTCACTGCGAAACGGAGCAAAGCGTGAACATCAAGTTTGCTTCAAATTAGGCAAAACGGCGACGGAGACACACGAAATGTTAGTGAAAGTGTACGGTGTGGACGCAGTGAGTAAAAGGTGTGTTTTTGAATGGTTTAAACGCTTTAGAGTCGGAAAGAGGAGCCGCGTTCGGGTTGACCACCAACAAGCACAATTCCAGACAACATCGAACGAGTGCGACGGATGCTTGCGGATGATCGACGGCTGCCTTTGAGAATGATAGCAGAAGAATTGAAGATAAGCCTAGACAGTGTGAATAACATTATTCACGAGCATTTGCAAAAACGTAAGAAAAAGGTCTACGCTTTTCCGACATTGCGCAGATCCAGCAACGTGTGACGACGGTGCTTCGAGCGATACCGAAAGAAGCGTCTGCTGACGGTTTCCAGCAGCTGTACAACCGATGTCAAAAGTGTATTGTAGTTAATGTTGATTACTTTGAATGCCAGTAAAGGTATTTTGTTTGTATACATTGTGTTTCCTTTATTTTATGAGACCATTCACCGAACTTTTCGAACGCACCTTGTATAACACCGACTAAACTCTGCAACTTTGAATTGTTCAGGATAATCATTTGTACTTACTCCACAAAATAAATTTCATACACCTTTTTCAACTAAAGCAGTGGACACTAGCACTTTTTATGCTTGCTTTTAATTCGCGAATAATTTGATTCTACACAAAAGAGGCTTAGATTTAGTCTATAACTCCTGAAGCAATCTTGCGAGGCGGGTTCATCAGTTTTCTTTGTCACTCAGTGGTCGGAATGATGCGATCAGACTTTATACGCTGTAGGGTGTGATCAGATTATACCCTACGGATGAGAATAGACGCTATAGCAGTTTCGCATTCACATTCTTTTTTTCATCACATAGAGAAAAGCAGAGGCTTTTGTTTCTTTTTTATTGTTTACTAACCATTTGAAGTACAATCTCTCCGGTAGTATTTGCAAAATTTCTCTATGATTCTTTAGCCTCTTCATTGCATTTTGAAATAATATCAATGATTAAAAAATAAGAGATAAATTACATTTACTTATCAAA